TTTGGATGAACTGTAATCTAATGATCCACATAAACAAAGTCCTATATTCAGCCTGCTCATCTTAATGGTTCTGATGATTTGTCTCTTCAGCACAGCTATTCTTTCTTTATATTTAGAATATAAACCATCTAAAAATGTTTGCAATATGCCAGGTGAGTCAGTAGCTTGCAAGACAAACACTGTCAGGAAAACTACTTTTTCTTTATATTTTACTCTTTAAATATGCTGATTTATATGAACACATTTTTTTCCCTCAACTGTATCTACAGCTTTCTTAAAGACACACAAACTAAACCTTCAGCTTCATATAAAGAGGTGACTTTTAAGGCTTACTCTTGACTTATTTCAGCCTCTGGCAACTGTTAACCTTTCAGCTTGATGCATGTTTTGCCATGCTACTTAAAAGATCATAGACTCATGAGAATTCAAACAGCTAATATTTATTTAAGGAAAACTTCATTTATATTTTGAGATCGATCTTGCAATAGATACTACAATAGTATGACTGTAGTAGTATTGCTTCTCTTCCAAGAAAAGCTGCAGCTAGTTTTGGGAGGGGAAACTCCTGTCTGTTTTAAGATAAACTGGATGGAACAATTGGCAGTGAATGGGTATGTGGGTGGTTTGCTGGAAGAAGGAGAATGTTGATTTGTGGAAGTGGTGTGGGATAAAATCCTGCAAGGTGAGAAACTCGAGCGTATGGGAGATCCAGAGTATGTCCTTGCTTCATCCTCAATCTAGAGCCTTAGAACTTCAAACACTGGGCCAAGAGGTTTTCAGTGGTGGATCTGTGTTGTTGGTGTAAGCTACTTGTAGGGAATTAATGAAGGATAGCTAACAAAGTCAAACCCACTCATCTTTAGGCTTAGTCCAGCTGCATGACTTAAAATCAGAAAAAGCTGAAAAGCTGCCTACAAAAGGAGGAGAGGGGAAGTATATTGCAGGTTCCTCAGTGAGAAAATGTGTGTATACTTTAAAGCTGGACTTTTTTTTTTTAAGCTGCAGAGAAGCACAGCTGCAAGTTTGCGTGAATGAAACCGTGAAGAAGTGCAAACTCAGGGTCTGAGTGGTGGGTGGGCGCTGTGGCCAACAGGTTGCTCCCCACTGGGTGCCTGCTGGTTCTAGGTATCCTGCTGTAAGTCTGGCAGTTTCTGACAAAAGTGATATTTCAAAAGTGCAGTAAGTTGTCTTCAGACACTAGCGTTTGTCTCTCCAAATCCGTAACTGCTGTCGGCTTCTCAACTAAATCGTATAATTGTTGTGCTCTTTCTTTCCACAAGCTCACAAACATTCATTACCCTGATTTATCTGCAACCTGTAGAAATCTTTTTCTCATATGTGTCTTCCTTTTCCACAAGTGGACCTTGAAAACCTTCCTGATCTGCAGATATCCAACTTGCTGAGGAAAACCTTTCCTTAAGAAAACAGGAGGCTGTGAGATAAATCCCTTCCCTTGACAACAAACACATCCTAATGGCAATTGACCCGAAACTTTTCGGGCAATCTCTGAAGTGATGTAAATGTCTTCCAAAGCTATAGCTGCTCATCTTATTGACTAAGATGCTGTAACAACTTTACTGGAAGTAAAATAGAGTACTAGTTCATTTTGTATGGAATTTTATTCGTTTTTTCCTCTTAAATCTATTATGTTTTTAGAGGAAAAGAGGTTGGCAAAAACTGGCATCATAGAATAGTTTGGAATGGAAGGGACCTTTAAAGTTGGTCCCTAAAACTAGTTGGTCCCTAAAATCCAGTCCAACCCTCCCACAATGAGAGGGGATGTCTTCAACTAGACCAGGTTGCTCACAGCCCCATCCAACCTGACCTTGAATCTTTCCAGGGGCATCTACCACCTCTCTGGGCTACATGTTCCAGTGTTTCACCATCCTCATCATAAAAGATTTCTTCATTCTATATCTAGTCTAAATCTGACCCCTTTTAGCGTAAAACCATTACCCCGTGTCCTATCACAACAGGCCCTCTGAAAAGGCTTGTCCCCATCTTTTGTGTAAGCCCCCTTAAGTACTCACAGGCCACAACAAGGTCTCCCTGAAGCCTTCTCTTCTCCAGACTGAACAGCTCCAACTGTCCTCATATGAGAGGTGCTCCAGCCCTCTGATTGTTTTTGTGGCCCTCCTCTGGACCTGTCTTATTAGGTCTTGTGGCTCTAAAGGCTTATCAGTAGGTGAACTTACTCAGCTGTGAATTGTGGTAACAGTCTGAAGAGTTGAAACACTGTTTTCTTCACAGAAAATCTTTACTGAACTCCTCTAGAGGACCACTTATGGAGGTATATGGAAATGGTGAATGCTGTCCTACTTATTTGAAGATGACTGTAAATGCTTGCTTTCTGATTTTCTGGTCTAGCCTGGATGTCTATAGCTTATGTGTGTGTCCACTGTCCCTGTTTGAGATAAAACAGAACCACCCAGTGGCCAACCCAGCCCAAACCACATCCACCTAAGTGAATCATTGCAAGAATCACAGAGCATGACATTAATTTCTATCCCTGTACTTAGCAGAAAACAACCTTTACAAAGTCTGGCTGCCAGACATTGGGGTAAAATTTTTACCTCGTGAACCAAGCAGTATAGACTGTCTATACTTTTGTTTGTACTGGAAGTCTTACCTCTAGGTCTTGAAAACCTTCTTGGTAGAGTTGGGTGGAATTTGCTTTGTGCTCCAGTGGAGGAAGCTGCTTTTAAGGCCATAGCCTTTCAGTGGACCTAGTTGGTGGCTGGGCCTGTGCTGTAGGGGACTAGTTGTTGAAGCCTCCAGGGTGAACTCTTTCTCTCCAAGCTGGAGGGCTTTGTTGTTGACTTCTGTGGCATTGGGACTTCAGCTATAAATTTTTGCTCTGGTGACTTGCCCCCTGCCCTCTTTTAAATTCAAAGGGAGGGAACAAGGAGAATTATTTTTGTAATTCCAAAGGTGGGCTTTTAAAGACATCCAAAATTGGCACTCTTAACTTGTTGCTATACTTGTTGTGTCACTTAGTTATGCTTTTTCTTTGCAACCAATGACCTTTCTTTGTGTTTAGCTTTCTGGGTTAGAGCAGGGGTTTATGAATATCAATGTTGACTTCTTAAAGTTTTTGAAACAATCTAATTTTTAATGAGCATTCAAAAAAATTTATAATTGGCTGTAGCTGGTAACTGTTGTTGAAGGGAAAGTATCGTGAAGCTCCTACCATGCCGCACTTGGATGAGCCAATTCTGGAGTTCAGCCAAGTGGACCTTCTCTTCCCCTTAAAGCAGTAGTAAAGAAGCAGCATCCTTTTCAGCAAGGACTTTGATCAGAATCAAGAAGGAACTGGCCTCAGAAGCTGAGGCCAACACACACTTTTAGAGGGGGTTGATTTGAGAGCTCCTGGCACTTCTGGCGTGTTCCTTACACTGCTGCCCTTATGGGTCAGATATTGTGGTGAAGCTTACTTTGCTCAAGTTGATGCTAAAAAGCTGAGACTCAGCTGTGAGAAGCTTTCACAAACTATCTTTGAAACAGCAAATTATTAGACTGGAGCAGGGGAGCAGGTTACATCCCCTCCAGTTTTTGCTGATCTCCGGTGCTCTGTGTGCTTGCTCTTGCTGAAGACCTATCAAAAGCTGTAGCAGGAAGTGTTAGGAGCCTGCCTACTGTGTTCGCTAATGAACCGGAGTTTGATCTGTCCTTGCAAGTAGGTGTCACTGCAGCCAGCACCAATTACAGCTGTATTCAGGGGACAGCAACATGATTCAGCCAGTCAAAAACAATATAAATGAATGAAGCTTTAACAGTTCAGGGTTTATATATTTTTAGCAAGCTGCATGTGATGTAATCCAACCGGATAGCTGCATTTTTCTCAACTTAAATGCTTGTTCTGTTCCTGTCAGCCGGCAACAGCATAATGTAAGTTAACAAAAGGGAAATAATATGAGAACAAGGTAGGATAAGAATACTTTTATCCTATCAGTGCTGGTAGGTCCTGCAAAAGAAAATATATTTGAGTTTCTCTAGGTTTATAACTTTGTGACAAAAGAGGCCAGATTTTGAAGGCCTTCAATTATCTTTCAGCATGCTGCAGGCAGTGCTGATGAAAAATGAACCTTTTCTTAATAGTGAAGCTTTCATTCAGGCCTACTACTGACCTTGAAAGTGTGGTCTTGTTCCCTTTAACTCTTGGATGAAGCTGTCCCAATAGCAGACATGCATAATGGCACTGTTTTCTGGCAGCAAGTGAAGATATCTTATTGCCTTTTACAGCATATGAAAGACAGTAATCTGAAAAGTCTGTATCTTAGTTAAATATCACTTGTATATGATGCAAATATTCTATTTAGAAACCTGAAGTAAAGAGGTGATGAGTGGGGAGAGTCTGCCAGTACATGGGCAGGGCTATATTTATGATGTTTCTTCCCAAATTCTTGTTCCTCTCCTCTATTGGAACTAAATAGTAATCATAATGAAGATTAACTGTAGGACATCGGATTTCAGAACATGAGCAACCTGGCCAACTGAATCTATTAAATTATACATATGAGATCTAAAAGTGAAGTTGGTCACCAGGAAAGTTCAGGACCCAATAGTAGCTCTTTGCTTACATGCTACTTCTACCCAAGGTCTCAAAGTGCTGTTGCAAATTCTGGGGAAGAGAGGACTTAAAGCAGAGTGAGCTGGGCTTCTCTTGAAAAGGCCACCTGGAAGCTGCTGTGAACTAGACGTTTTTGAAGAAAGCAAGAGGTGTTTGAAATGTGATTTTTCTTCAAGCTTTCTCAGTTAATTCTGTGCTCTTAGCGGAATTTTTTACTGGATAGCATGGATAGTATAGTCTGGTCAAAATATGTGCTCAGGCTGAAGGGTGTGAACAAATTATGCTTCTTCGTTATGTTTTTACTGACGTGAGATTTCTTAATATCTTTCCTATATATTTTCATAGATGTTTGATTCAAGAGCAATTTAGAAAACTGAAGTATAACTTTTTTTTTCCTGCTAGTAAATACGTCTCAATTCTATTTCTACAGCACTGATATCACCTGCAAGGAAGAGTTCATCAGTGATCAATAGATTACAGCTCCAGCAACACAAACAAAACCGTCACCATGAAACACTTCTTGAGGTAACTGTTCTATATTTTTTTGAAAGTGTTAAATTATTCTAGTTGTTTCTATGCTGCAGTGAGGTGAAGTGTTTTAGCTGTTACCTGTGGTACAGAAGGTGTAAACTAGTTTATACTAGATTGCTTTCTGTTCACCTAGATTTCACTATTTAATTAAAGCTCTTTTAAATTAAAATTTTCTTTCCCATTCTTTATAGAAGCAAAGAATGTGGGAACTGTCTTATGGGATTGGAGCAGTGATGTATCAGTAGTGCTCAATATGTCAGGGGAGAACAGGAGAAAAAGTAACATGAAACAGTGCTTGAAAAATGTTGGGTGGCTTTTGGCTGTTTTTTTTCTTCCCCACTCTTGTCTGCTCTCTGAATTTTTGGAGTGTTACTTGTGAAAGTGGAGAAGGGGGAGATGTTTGGTGAAAACGTGCAAATGTTTTTGAAGCCAATTGTACTGAATTTGGAGAGAAATGTCTATTATTTGCTCTTACATATGACTTGCATTTATTCCTCTATAAACCAGGAGTAAAATGGGGGACTTTCAGACACCAGCTGTAGGTGTAGAAAGCCCATGTTGTCTTTGTTCTGTAGTCAGTGGAGAGAGTTGAGCACTCCTAGAAACTAACAGATCAAGAGCTTAATTTGTGTATAAACCAAAGAAATTATATTCTGTCTGCATGGGAAAAACCTTTTCAAGAGGGCTGAAACATATGCTTCTGTATAAAGCATCTGTCACTATATTTTTCTCTCTTTTTAGACTGTTTATAGCAAAGAATCCTATACACTGTGGATATCAGCATCGTTACCTCTAAGCTGATCATCTGTAATGATTTTGCTGCCAAACCAACCTTGGTTTAAGCATTTCTGTGGAGTGTTTGGGTCAGTTTCTCCTAGTATCTTGAGCCAGCTGCAAAAGTACTCTGTGAGCAAGATATACACAGGTTAAAAGTATTTGCTAACACCCACAAAAGACAGTGAAGATTTACTGAGCCATTAGGTTAAGTGTTAGTGTGGTCACCACCCTGATAAGCTCCAGCCAGGAGGGAAAGGATTGGTCCCTACAGCTCTGTGTCCCAGATCCTGGATAGTCCCAAATCTGCCACCAAATCCATCGATAATGGTCCAGTGACCTGATGGTTCAGAGCTAGCCTGGCTAATACCCCTGTAGTCCCCTAACATCCTCCCCCCCTTACAAAACTGAAAAATTGTGTCTCCTAGTACATTTCTAACACAAAGTTCAGCCATTGAGTGAGACAATAAAAAGATATGAGAAGAAACATGTTGTGCCATGTAGTAAAACTACTTTTAATAAATTGAAGTTCTACAACATTTAAACAATTGCAAAACTTCAAAAGAAGTCCTAAATTGAATTGGTTGCTTGTGCAGTCTCATTTCTCAATCTGAATTATTTTCCCTAATCCTGCCTTTCCCAGGACTGTGTTGCACATCAGAATAGCAAAGAAAGGGGCTGTGCTTACACAAATGGCACGTACTTTGATGTCTAGGTCTTTTATAAGAATATAACTTTTACCTGAGGAATCTTTGATGTAACAGAATTTGGCTTTTCATCTACCTGCTTTCAGCAGCTGCTGCTTTCCAGTGAAAGGAGAAGCGTTTTTGTTTTTTGTTTTGTTTTTTTTTTTTTAATAGACAGTCTAGTACTTGAAATAACTCTAAATCCCTAACTTTAGGGGAGTGCTGTTGGCCAGTAAACTACAGGACTCCTATGCTCATATCTCTAATCTAAGCCGATGTCTAAATGAAAATAGATTTTAGGTTGGTTTACATTTCTTTTCTTTCTCAGCTTGCTCTGATATGAATTATTCCTAAAGTCTGAAGTATTGCTTACAAAATAATAAAACTGTCTCTCAGGAAGATATTTAATCTTTCAGTGCTTTCTTTTTTTGCAAAAGGGGTTTTGAGGAGTCTGTTGGTGACGATGCTTCCGCTTTGACTGTAACTTATCTTAAACATCTGAAATAATAACAACTTGGAGAACCAACTGTAGCAGACGCTTAGGTTTTTTCAATAAAACCTAGAAACTTGACACCTTCTCTTGATCTACTGCAAAACAGTCTGTAAGCACTAGCAGATTTTAAGCATAAGTTCTGTCTGACTACAGTCGCATCAGATAAAATGAAAATCAAGTCAGCAAAAACCAAGAGCAGGGAAAGTGTGGAAAGCTGCTGTTAAAAGCTACTCTTATGTCTTCCTTAGTTGCCACGGTGACTTGCTTTCATGTCTAAATGGAGAGATAAGGTGGATTTCAGTTGTCAAGTCTGCAAAGGCAGAGTGAAAAAAATTTCTTGTGTTTTTAAAGGAGCTAATAGCATGTTTGCCTGTGGCAGAAACAGCGATTGGTACGTTCCTTCTTGGTTGACCTTGTATAAAGATTATAAGTTATACAAATAAACTAAAGACAGTCAAGTTAATTAGCTCCTAACAGGGTAGTATCATTTGCTTATTTCACAGCTTGTCATCCTTAACTAACTTGTGTGTCCTTGACTTCTCAAGCTGTAATCAGAACTCTCAGGAAGGAGATATTGATGTGTAATGCTTTCTTCTCTAAGCTGAGTACAACCTTCAGGAAGAGTCTTTCCTATTTGTAAGACCTAAAACCGGACACACAGGAAAAAAAATGATGTGTAAATAGATTTAGTGACTTTTATGTCATTATCTTAAACTAGTGTTTTTTCTGGGGGGAGTGGTGGTGGTGGTTTTTGCTTGCTTTCTTTCTGCCATTTTAACCCCAGTAACTACCATTGGGTATCTAGTTGAAAGTTTTCATTTTACCTAAAGTATTTGTCCTGTTTCACATGGAACCCAAGTGAAAAATACATATTTTTAAAATTTATTTTTTTTCTGTAGCAGTGATACTGGATTTCAGTGACCCTCTCTGTGAGCCAAGTTGGGGGTATTGCTCAGGAGCTAACATGTAGCTTCTGATGTCCAAGTGATTGACATCAATGACTGGGGATGTGTAACCCTGACTTCTCATAGGAGGATGGCTGCATGTGTTTCCAATCGTACAGCATCCTGGCAAGGGAACTGCCTGTTGATTGGGCCTGTGTGCATCAGCATCTTATTATGCAGTTTTTTCTTTGTTTTACCTGAATAAATGTTCATGTGAACTCTTGTAATGCATTTTGGATGTGTGAACGCAAACCTGTAGATCTGTACAGCTGAATTTAATACAAAAGGAGAAGGAGCTTGTATTAGGAGGGGGAAGAGTAGGATGCAAATTTCTGAGGAACACCTTCATTTCTGTAATACTTTATTCTTAAAGCTCATTTCAGGATCTGAAGTATTGTTCTACATGACTACACAAACTGCTGTTGAAAGATACTATTTTCTGTGTGGAGAAAACCTGCAAAGGTAAACAGGTTAAAAAAAATGAATATAAAACCAGAGAAGAATAGAGAGGAGGTTTGGAACTGAACTCTAAACCAAACCAGAAGTTAATGTCACTGTGCTGTAGCCAGACACATGGCTCATGCTACACTTCTGTGTGGGTTCTTGTTCATGATATTCTGTTTTGGTTTATAGCTGCCAGTGTCTCCTCTTCGCTTATGTGAACTGAAGTCCGTAGCAGATAGCATGAAACTTGTCTTATTTAATCAATAGTATGCTTTTATTACAGGACTTCTGCAAGCAAGAATTCCCTTTTATAAAGAACAAAACAAACTTGTGTTACTTTTTATGCCATTCATGTTACAAATGGAAGATTTCAACTGTTGTAAGCTTGAGATGGATGAGTAGTAGAAAACTGAAGGTATCCACAAAGGCTAACTTCCTTCTATAAGCTACCCAGTCAAAACTAGTGTTTGTTTGCTTTATTAGTAATAGCTGCTAAGTATATGCTAGTGAATCACAGATGTAGTGTTTGTGTGCTGTAGTGATGTTTTCAGTAGATGCATTTTTATTAGTTAATTTTTGTGCAAACCGCAGCCAAAGCAAAGCTTTAGTGGGGAAGGTGGTTGTGACCATGGATGGCCACAGCTCTGTCCCATTTGGAGTTTTTTCCTTTGATTTGCAAATCTGTCATTGAGCCTAAAGGCAGCAAGGTATCATTCAAATAGACCTAACACCTGTCCCCCTCTCCCCCCTCCCTCCCAAACTTCTCCACAACATACAATACAGTAAGAAACAAGGTTTTGAGTAATTAAATGAGTTGTGACATTTCAGCCCTGGAGGCAATTAAGTGTAGGCATCAACTTTCTTAAAGGATGTGTGGGTTATATGGGAGCCACCTTGTTCATTAGAAGGAAATCTTACATGGGCTGTTAACATGAAGTTAAGTGAGTCTTTCCTCCCTTCTTTCATATAAATGAGATCTCTGTGTAGTAAGTTGCTCTAACAGAGACCTAACTTTTGGAAACAAAGCAGGCTGAAAAAGAAAGCAACTCTAATTTCTACTGCAAATGTATAGTGAACTCACAGAACGTTGTTTTACCGCACCCCACCCTCCAGTTTGGCATTAATCTCTTGTACTCATTTCTCTGGATTTTCAGTCAGACTACAGAGCTGGAGTGTGCTGAGAAGGCTGAGGGATGGCTGTAGTCTGTGTTTGGATTCTTCAGGGATGGTGGACTAGTCAAATCTGTGAAGGCTGATATCCAATGTCTAGTGGAAAACCAAAATGCCTAATGTTAGCCTGTGGACTTTGTCAAGCAACTATTAAAGGCTGCAGTTAGAGGCATTAGTTGACTTTATATGAGATTGACTCTATAACTGACTTGCACTACTGACTCTTGGAAACTTAAAGAATGACTGTGTGGCTGATGATGGATTTGCCTTCTGGTAAATGGTCTTGTTCTTTATACTGAAGGTGATCACCTGCTGTGAAGCACATACAAACTCCTCACAGTAGTGTGCTCTGGCACATTTTGCAGGGAAGAGGGGGACCCAAACATTTCGATCTCAGCAGCTGAAACTCTTTTGCTTGTCAAAAACTTGATTCCAGCGTGGGAGTTATTCCCCATTCTTTAGGTTTCGCTTTGTATCAAAAATAGGGGCTTCCTGTTGCATGAAGACAAGGCGGTTGCCTGCATGCAGGCTTTTGGGAGTGTTAAGTGAATTAACAAAAAATGTGGAGATAAAGTGGATGCTTTTAAAGCATGTTAAATACTTGTGGCTAAAATGGCTTTAGTTCCCTTCACTTAATCCTCCTTCAAAGGAGATTAAGCTGAAGTGAACATAAAGCAGATTAAACTCCTGTGTGGACATTAACATGAGTTAACTTATCTTCCCTTCCCTGAATGTCCTTCTACACCATGCCCTTCAGGATGTTTTTAGGAAGTGATGGAGCTCTTTAAGCTTTATTAAAGCTATAACTGATTTGAGTTCCTGAAATTCACTATTTCAGAATAACTACTGCACTCCATTGAAAAGGATAATACATAGTCTCCTGACAAATGACTGTCCTTTGAAAGCATCAACAGCATGTGGAGGATATAATGGGCTAATGATGAATACACATACACACAGGCTTAGAACATAATGGACCAAATTATTTCTGACTATTTAGTGGCCAGCTAGTGTAGCAAAGCTGTATTGATGTTTTCCCATAATATAATCATAGAATATAATCACAGAAAGCTTGAGGTTGGATGGGACCTCTGTAGGTCATCTAGTCCATGCCTCCTGCTCTAGCAGGATCACCAGTTGCCCAGGCCTGTGTCCAGATAGCAATGTTCCTGTGGTCAGGTCTCTGTAATTTGCCATTTCTGAGATGTGATTCTGAACTCAAGGACCTGGGGTAGATCCTGGCTCCCGTCTCAAGGTAACATTGCATTGGGGGAACGTGGCAGGATGTGCGCCTTCATAGCTGCAGAAACGAGAAAGCTAATTTGTGTCAAATTTAGTTGTAGCCCATGAAATCTGTTTTTGGGGTGTGTTATGTAATCATGGTAGCAGTATGTGGGCTTTGGTAGCAGCTGCAATGCTGACAAACTTTAAAATAGAGCATTTCTCATGTATGCAGCCTTCCTCAGGCTTTCATAGGATCCCAGGTTAGTTCAGGCTGGGAGGGACCTCAGCAGGTCTCTGATCCAACCCTCCTGCTCACAGCAGGTCAGCCCTGAGGTCAGACTGGGCTGCTCGGGGATTTTTCCGCTCATGGCTTAAAAATCTCTGAGGAAGGAGAGTGCAGAGCCTCTCTGGGCAACCTGTGCTGCTACCCGATTGTCCTCCTGGGGGAAAAAACTTCTCCTTAGATCTAGGCTGAGCCTCTTATGTTCCAATTTGACTGGCTGTTGTTCCTTGTCTTCCTGCTTTGCACCACTGTGAAGAGCCTGACTCTGTCTCCTCCGTGATCTTCCCACAGGCACTAAGGGCTGCTGTTGGGTCCCCCTGAAGCTCTCTCTGCACCAGGTTGAGCAAGCCCAGCTCTCCCAGCCTCTCCTTGCAGGGCCTGTGCTCCAGCCCCACTATCGGGGGGGCTTCTGCTAAAATCCATCCCGTTTGTCAAAGTCTGTCTTGTATTGCTGGGGCTCAAAACTGGATGCAGTATCTAAATAAGGGCTTTTGGGGGTTACTGTCAATTTTATAGTTTGAGGAATTGTGCAGCATCAGCGCTGTATAAAAGCTCATCTTGGGAAGAACTGGCGGTCCTCAGGACAGTTCTGAAACACTTTCTCTCCTGAAGGAGGGAAGCTTTGGTTTCCTTAATCATCAGTCTTAAGGACCTGACAGGAGTGTTGATTTATGTTTGTCAGGATAACCAGCCACTCTGCTTGGAGCAGCTGGATGCAGGGACAAAGCTAAGCCAGGGTATAGTGGCTCCCTAGATCCTCAGCAGCCATGACAACAGGGTGAGCTGTTCTCCCTTCTCATGTAGACCTGTTTCCTCAAAGCATTAATAGGAACTATACGGCCTTTTATTTTAAAGGGCAAAGAGTTTTCTAGAAATACTCATTTGATTACTCTGGAGTTGATTTATTTTGTGCTTCTGGTTCTGGTGCTTTGTGCATGGTTTTGTTGTTGTTGAGTAAGACTGAAAAGCATGATTTAATACTTATCAGCATAAACATTTGCGGTGTGAATGCTGGTTTTGCTTTAAAAGAGCCCTCAGGCAATAAGAATTTGGGTTGAGGAAGTACCTACTGTTTGGATGGTGACCTTGTTGAAACAAACTCTGCTCAAGACTCTTATTTTCAGGCTTCTTTTT